TGACGTAGAAAGTCCCCTGAGGAACTCTGTCTGTGTTTCCGGAGTTTCTCTCCCCCTCCCCCTGTTTTATTTTTATTTTTTCCTGGTGTTTTTTAAAGTGTGGTGTGTGTGTACTTCTTACGCCTGTCCGTGTCCTGGCACCCCGGAGCCTGCCTTCCCCCGCAGCTGGAAGCGGCCTGAAGGCGGTGCAGTTCACCAGCAGCCGGCCCTCGTGCGCTGGCCCCCGCCTGCCCGTCGGATCCCTGGCGGCCCTTCTTAGCTCCGTGGGTCCTTGGGCTCAAACGGCTGTAACTAACCGCCCCGGACCCTCGGCAGAGCCTCCCTCTCAGGGCCCTGTGGTGATGCTCTGGTGGCCCTAGGTGGCCCCTGACCCCCTCTTGGCGCCCAGTTTCCAGATGAGCTCCGTTTGCCAAACAGACTATTTTGAGCTGCCCTTTGGCCTGTGCCTGATGTGTTCCCAGTGTAGCTTGGCCTGGCTGGGGACGGGGAGGGGGCGGTGCCCAGAGATTCCCACAAGACGGTTGGGAAGCTGCTGGCATTGTCTCTGGGAAGACTCTGCTGTCCCGGACTGAGTGGCAGCCTGGATCTGCACGGTGCCAGGCCTGCGTGCCACCCCTCTGTGCCCCCGACACGCACGCTTGTGCCCACGGGTTGTAGCCAGAGGCTAGCTCTCCTGCGGGGTGCTGTCACCCTCACCGTCCAGGAACCCTGTCCTCCTGGCTCCCGGGGCTCCCATCTGGCAGAGAAGGCTCAGGGCCTGTCGCGCTTGAAAGCTCTTCAGCTTCATCTGTCACCTGTGTTTGGTGCTCAGGAAAAGGACCAGAGAGGACAGTGCCCACTCCCTTCGGGAGCCTCACCACACCAGCTGGCTGTGGGTCCTGAGGTGGCAGGAGGGAGCCGAACCACGCAGTCAGGGCCCTCTCTTCTGCCACGCTCTCACCCCTCCATTCTGTCTCCTTCGCTGGAGCGGGGGGTGCGGGGCGGAGGGTGGGAGGAATCAGTGTTTAAATCAGATTTTACAAAAAAAAAAAAAAAA